AAGCCTTCATCTTAAGTGAGAATAACAGCACAATTGGAAGAGCGTAGTCAATGTCACTGAACTGTGTATGTAGAAATTTTTGAAACGGTTTATCTTTGGCTATGTGTATTTTCACCAAAAGAAAAAAAGGTTGAGAAGTTAGAGGGTTAATATGTTGTGGGGTTGTTAACCTATCTCATAAAACAACGTGTACTACTGTTTCATGAGAAACTATTTGTTCTGTAACCTTCACCTGAAGTACCATAAAATACGAAAAAAAGAAAAAAAAAGTCATTATTGTTAAAATAAACAGTGCTTTAAAGTTTGTTATGCCAAATATAGATACGAGAAAATCTAGTTTTATAGAATTCATTTTATGTTGATAAACTAATAAATAATGTAATTTTGTATAAAAGCTTTACATACGTAAAGTGCCTAGCATAGTGCTTGACACATACTAAGCACTCAATAATTGATACTAAATTTTATTTTATTTTCGTTTCCACCTTACTTGTAAGATACAGTCTTTTACTTGCAGATGGTATTCCTGTAAAATTGTTTTAAATACATAGTTGCATAATTTGATATAATAACCTCAGCAGTTATGGAGAGAATATCCTGTTATGAGGCACTTCATTTTCAACGTGGGTCTCTTTTTATACATTTTCAGGATTCATCTGGGTGAAAGCAGATTTTGGTAATTGAGGGCATGCATGAGAATCACCTGTGGGCTTATTAAAAAACAGTTGCTGGGCCCACTTGAGAGTTTCTAATTCAGTAGGTGTAGGGTGGTATCGGAGAATTTGCCTTTTACTAACACCTTCGTAGGTGAGGCAGCTGCTGCTGGTTTGTGGATCACAGAGGGCTGCCGACCTAAAGAAGTGACATGATTTCTAATTATTGCTGTTATCTTAATTATACATGTCCAGCATCATTTATGCATTGATGTTATTGATGTTGCTGAGTTTATTGTATGGTCTTTTTGAAATAATTTAGGGAAATTTGGTTTAAGTGTAGTTATACTTACTACTTAAAGAAAAGTTTCCTGTAGGTTACTTTTGCAGTAGAGAATTTCAAAGTGCAGGTTTTCATTTGTTTCCGATGATTCTTTATCTTAAGACTCAAAAACACACAGGTTTAATTTTTAGGGGAAAAGAATTATCACTTTGACATATATTTTACAAGGTGATTTTACGTGTTATAACTGATTTCGTAGAATTCCAGAAGATCAGGATGATGTAGAAATTTAAAAATAGGAACAAAATATTATCTTTAGTTCTTTTCAAGAATCATAATAAAATTAAAATTTGATAGGCCAGTGTGAGTTGAATTTAGTGCTCATCATTCATACTTACGAAATAGATCTCATTCAGAGTTTCACTCACACCAACGTATCAATTTTACCTTTTCCTTTTAAAGCACAGCTTACACCTTTAGGAGTATGATAGTATAGGGGGGTTATTCTTTTGAAGCAGAGAAGGCAGTCAGAAGATCTTTGTCCATGAGATTAGACTGGAATGTACTGTATTCGGTGATTACTGAATGGCTTTATGTGCCAGGCACTATGGTGAAAATCGGTGCCAAAGCAATTTATCTTCATCATGCACAATGAGGGGTTTTAGTGGGTTGTAACTTAATATGATCTAATTGTGGTAATGAGGTTACTGATATACCTAATGCAATCTTAGGCCTCATTAATAGGATTATTATTGTGTGCTGAGTCAGGGATGTAAAGTTGTGTCTTACTCTGTTAGACCACGTTTGGAGTGTTATGTTTAGTTTCGGGCTCAGTCAGAGGTGCGTCTATGGAAAATAGCGCCTGTTGTGAATAGAAACTGCCTACTGACACGCGCTCTGCCACTGGGGGTGGGGTAAGTGGTGCCCAGGGCACGTGCCATCCCTGCCATACCCTAGATACACCTCTGGCAGGGACCAGTTGGAGTTATTCTAGAAATGAGGAGCCACGCTGTTGGGAGGTCTAGCCATTTTTGAATATGAGAATTGTTGGCAAATGGGGGTAATTAACTGGGAGAAGAGACATCTTACTTGTGTTATTGATACTTTAATGTCTACCTGCCTTACTGTAACGTAAGGTCCTCAGGATGGGGACCTGTCCACCATGGCGCCTCAGTGCCTCTCACAGTGCCTGGGGTGTGCTCAATAAATATTTGAGTTGAGACAGTTTTGAAGGGAAGATGATGGCTACCTTCAAATACTTGTCATGTAGATAGGCTTGGTAATTAGATTTATTACTGACATCTCCAGAGGGCACATGGAGGCACCAGGGAAACAATTTTTAGGTGGGCAAGTTTCAACTTTACTTAAGAACTTCGTACAACTTAGATAGGTTTAGCAGTCAGATTGCTAAGTTTCTTGGGCTATTTAAACTCTGTTATTTTAAATATTCAGGTAGAGGCTGCATGGGGATTTCCTAGAAAATATAATTGCTTTTGATGGATTATGGGCCAAGATGTTTTCAGCTGTTAACACTTATTGCCATGTATTTCTGTCTTTTGTTTAAATATTTCACTAAAAAAACCATAATGCCAACTAATAAATAAAGTCATCTTTCTAAGTTAGACCTTGCTTGTCTTTTCAGACTAAAGCAAAGCAAAGAACTGGACCAGGAGAGCGCCCATGAGCAGTTAACCAGAGCTATCCTCCGAGAGAGGATTTCCAGCGAAGAGGAACGCTCCAGGGCCAAGCACCTGGTGAGTATGAAAGATTCAGTAGAAATTTCTCGCCCACAAGGAACTCGGGATGTCTGGGAAAAGCTAAGTACTCCCTGCCAGCTTGTAATGTTGCTAGTATTCATGTTCTCTTTGCTTAGATTTTCTTGATTTTGCTTTTTACAAGTAGCTGGCAATTTGTTCAGATTAACCAACAAGCAACTTGAGAAGTATTGAAGTAAAGATCAACACGCAGACACCACCTGCATCTTGCCTGAAGGGATGTTTGTTTGCTTTCTCCCCGGCTTGCTCTGGGTTCAGTGTAGTATGTGAAACCAATGGGCCAGCAGCCTAGCCTTTCTCTCCCTCCTGGCAGCTGCTGGGTGTTAGTCTGGGAAGACTCCAGCAAAGGTGGCTGAGGTTTGATCCGTCACTTTCTGAGCTTCAGAAAGGGGGAGAAGTAGAGCAAGGGTTTTGGAGAACAATCTTTTTTAAGAAAAGAAATTTTTTTTTTTACAGAAAATCTTTTTTAATATTTTAAAAGACAAGATACATAAATGTGCTTTAAAAAATGATCAGTAGAAAGAAGTAAACGTAAAAGGCACCCATCAGTGTGCCATTCTGATGTAACGTGGTGTCCATTAGAGTGTGTTCTCCTGTAACCCATTGCCTTTGAGTCGATTCCGACTCATAGTGACACCGTAGGACAGAGTAGAACTGCCCCACAGGGTTTCCAAGGCAGTAATCTGTACGGAAGCAGACTGCCACATCTTTCTCCTGCTGAGCGGCTGATGGATTCGAAGTTCCCCCTCTAGACTACTTTTTTTTTAGTAGCCTGTTACATTTTTTGGAGCCCTGGTGGTATAGTGATTAAGCGTTTGGCTGCTAACCAAAAGGTCGGCAGTTCGAATTCACCAGCCTCTCCTTGAAAAAACCCTTTGGGGCAGTTCTACTCTGTCCTTCAGGGTCACTATGAGTTAGAATCCAGTGGACAGCAATGGGTTTTTTTTTTGTTGTTTATTACATGTTTAGGAGTCCCGGGTGCACAATGGTTAAGTGCTCGAGTACTAACCAAAAGGTTGACAGTTCAAACTCCATTGGAGGAAGCTAGTGATCTGCTCCCCTAACAATGACAGCCTAGAAAACCCTATGGGCAGTTCTACTGTGTCACATGGGGTCGCTGAATCGAAAATTAAGTTGATGGGCACCTAACAACAACAGCAACAGCAGCAGCGTTACATATTTGAGAATTTGGATAATGTTGCGTATCGTGTTTAGCATCATCAACATTTTCTTGTATCGCTGAACATCCTTCTAAAATGTACTTTTAATGGCCAGATAACATTCTGTCCTCTGGATGTAACATAATTTGCTAACCACTTTCCCATTGTGGGAGAAGCGTGGAGCTGCCTGGTTGAAGCCTTGAGTCCTGACTGCTCAGCCCCACCACAGCCTTCCTAGGAACCCAGGTGTAACTGCTCATTGGACCCAGTTGGGAACTCACTGGAGGGACAGGTGGGACCACAGAGTGGAGGACTCTGAATGCAGGTGGGAGGGGGCTGTCCCTAGTTCAGCAGGCCACTGGGAATCATTGAAAATGTGTAAGAAAAGGGTCACTTAAGTTCTTTCCTGTTTTTTACCTTGGTCATTTCTTTGAGAGGCTAACCTAGGACAACATGCAAATAGAGAAAGTAAAAGCAAGTGAGTGTGTAATGAATCCATTTCTTCAGTGGCTGATCTGGATTGCAGTGATCCAGAACTGAGGTGCGGGACTAAGACATGCTCAGGGCTGACTGGCAGCCATTGTGAGGGCAGCACTTGCGCTGAGGGGACCTGAGGGAGCAAGAGGTGGAAGGAGGGCCTGGGGTCCTGAAAGCGGAATAATCTCAAAACTAAGGATGTTACACATGAGGTAATTCAATCGATTACATCTGCTGTGCTTCTAAGCTGGAGGGATTTTTTGAGGAAGTTGAAAAAAAAAAAAGACCAGTGGGTTGAAAAGTCATTTTCATGACTGTTAGTCTCCCAAGTTGAAGGCTAGGATGGAGTGGAGACGGTTCATAGTGCTCATGTCTGAGGAGGGTGGTAGGGGGGTGGGGGGCGCAAGAGTCCTAGTTTCCAGTGAGCAAAAGAATCCTTGGTGGCTTTTTCCTTAGTGCCCCAGCTTTGGCCCTATTACTTCTTATCCCTGAGACACTTTTCTCTCAACTTCTCTTTACCTAAATTTGCAATATTGTTCATGGAGACGAGCAAGAGTGGAATTAAAAAAAACTCACTAAACACACGTGCACGTGACAAGACATAATAAGAGGGGAGATGAGCACAAAAAAGGTGGAAGTACAGACAGATTTCTTACCCAATAGTAACTAAAACATTATGTAATGTGGTTTGGTTGGAATAGCGTATCTTCAGCCCATTTTCTCTTTGTATCTAATAAATCCTGTCTATTGCCCTTCTATGTTTTTTGTTTAGCAGGTTAAGCATAAGAAACTGACATTGTATATTCTGTTTTGTGATCTCTTTACCACTTCTAGAGTTCTGTGGCATAGGTGGCAAATTACAGTACTCACAACTCCTGAATTTCAGCATCTGTCCTAATATCGGCCAAATAGAGCCCTCAAAGCACGTAGAGGATAAAGTAGGATTTATTCAGTGGGGTTATCGCTGAGTCAGAGCGCCCCTTCCTGGCTTGAGTGTTCTTAGATGCTGAGTGGCAGTGTCTTGTCCACTGTACCATGGCTGCCTACAGCAATTAGGTCCCTGATGACTCCCAACTTACTAACAAAGTTATCCCTTTTATTGTTATTATTTATTACAGAAGACATACATATTCCTTGGAAAAAGATCAGAAAATGAATTCAATAAAAAAAAGTTAGAATCATTCAAATTACCACTGTTGTTGTAAGGTGCCGTTGAGTCAGTTCTGACTCAATAGTGACCCTGTGTACAACAGAGTGAAACACTGCCCAGTCCTGTGCCATCGTCACAATCATTGTTATGCTTAAGCTTATCCTTGTAGCCACTTCGTCAGTCCATCTTGTCGAGGGTTTCCTCTTTTTCATTGACGCTCTCCTTTAGCAAGCATGATGTCCTTCTCCAGGGACTGATACCTTCTGATAATGTGTCCAAAGTATGTGAGATGAAGTCTCACCATCCTTGCTTCAAAGGAGCATTCTGGCTGTACTTCTTCCAAGACATTTGTTCTTTTGGCAGTCCATGGTATAGTCAATATTCTTCGCCAACACCACAATTCAAAGGCATCAGTTCTTTGGGCTTCCTTATTCATTGTCCAGCTTTCACACGCATATGAGGTGATTGAAAACACCATGGCTTGGGTCAGGCGCGCCTTAGTCTTCAAGGTGACATCTTTGTTTTTTAACACTTTAACGAGGTCTTTTGCAGCAGATTTGCTCATTGCAGTGTGTCCTTTGATTTCTTGACTGCTGCTTCCATGGGTGTTGATTGTGGATCCAAGTGAAAGGAAATCCTTGACAACTTCAATCTTTTCTCTGTTTATTATGATGTTGCTTATTGTTCCAGTTGTGAGGATTTTTGCTTTCTTTTTGTTGAGGTGTAATCCATACCGCAGGCTGTGGTCTTTGATAATTACTGTTAACATTTGGTTTGTAGTTGTTATATTCCTTTTCACATTCTATGAATTCTGTATGAAAACATTTATATTGATATGTGTAAATGTATTTCTCCTAACATAGTAATATACAGACTTTTGTATAATTCTTACAATCACCTTCACAGTAAAAAAAAATTATATGGTAATGTCTTCTATATCAGTAAATATTTATTTGTGTGATCACTTATTCATGATTGAATGTATTTCATGGAATTTCCCCATAATTATTAAAGTAGTGTATGGATATTATAGAAAATTTGGAAAAGTAAAAATTACTAAGGAAATAAGCATCATTGTTGTTCTGTCATGTGTAATAGTGTTTAGGGGTATATTGTTCCTTCTGCCTTTTCCCCCGCCAGGTATATATTGCATGCCAGCTTTTAGGTTTCCCAATTCTGCACCTCACTACCTGCTAAGACAGAATTGTGTGGTGTGGAAAGTGCCTGCAAGCTGACTATTGTACCCTAGTTCCCTGATCTCCACCTGGGGAAGGTTTGGGAAACCCCCGACCCATGATTCATGGGAGAGACACCCCAAGAATGTAGCATTGTTCTGCTATGAGTTCTGGACCCCTTTTGCTGCCGTTCTTGACCCTAACATATGGGACTCTGAGTGATGGCCCAACATTGATTTGCTCGTCTTTATTTAGAACCCAAATGTTGCAGCCAGCAAGAAAGTAAAGGCTGGGTTTCACACATTTGAAGTAATTGGAAAGCTGTCTTTCAGGAGAACCGGGGAAGAAAAAACCTTATGTGATGTTGGTACTGTGAAATAACACTAACTCCCTGTCCCCTCCCCATCTTCCTCCACCCACGACCCGTTGACATTTAGACTGCCCTCTCCTTAGATGAGTTCCAGGCTTGACTTCCCGCAGTTGTTATAGCAGCCAGCTTTATCGAAACTCTTGGAAGGGCAAAGTTACAGTGGCCCTGTAGTTGAAGTTTTAAAATAGGATCGGATCAGAGCTTTCCCTTTGTAAGAATTGCTTTAGCTGGGGAAGCTGTTGATCCTGCCGTAGATTCTGGTAGTCTGGCTTCTTCCTGCCCCTTTCACTAACTAGTGCCAGCGTTTCAATCAGCTGATCGTACCTAGAGGTTTTGGAGAGGCAGCTTGCTCAGTTTTACCCATATGAAAATGTTAACTAAAATTCCCATTAAAGGTGTGTTTCTTAGGATCAGGAAAGCACCCCTGTAAAGAATGAAGACGACTTAAATGGAACAGCACCAGGAAACCTGTAAAGTTACTGTGACTGGACATTTCGTTTATCTTTAAGATCTCACACATATTAAGTCTAATGTTTACTGTGTCATTAAATTATTTTACATTAAACAATTGTTGTTCTTAGGTGCTGTCGAGTTGATTCTGACTCATAGGAACCCCATGTGACAGAGTAGAACTCCCCCATGGGGTT